TTTTGCCAATTTTTCGAGATTCTTCAGGTCCTTTTAAACATCATCAATATGCATTGCTGTCCACTATATCATCTGACTAGTACAGAAGGCCAACCTACCACATGAGTATGGTGGTCTTTCTTAAGCTTTGTATTTTGCCATAGCTATATTATTCCTGTTTTAAAGGCTGCCCTTTTAGTAGTCAAGACTATGAACAAGTCTTTCATTTCATAATGAAAGCATTATTCATCAAAAACATAGAAATATAATTTAGTCACTTAAATCCCCAACATTTTACATCATTAAGTAGCACATTTTACATAATTTAAGTAGCACTTGATAACATATAAATGCTCAAAAATGATGTAAACATATACAGTCATTTGAAATAGAAAGTACACCCTTTTTCAATTCAATGGTTTTACATATTAGGGCATAAATAACAATCGCCTGGTCCTCACCAACTTCTATAATTAGACAAATCTAGCCTCAGATAACAGGCAACACATAACAGGTTTCACTATGTCCTTATTTATTCAACATAAAGTAAGCCAAAATGCAGAAACCATGTGGGAAAAATTAAGTACACCCTTATGGCTTCCATGGGAATTAAGAAGGTAGTTAGCAGCCAGGTGCTGCTAATCAAATGCCCTTGATTAGTTGATCATCAGGAAGTGTGACCACCTCTATAAAAGTAGAACGTTTGGCAGTTTGGTGGTCTGGAGCATTCAGGTGTGTTAACACCATGCCAAGGAGAATAGACCTCAGCAATGAACTCAGAGAAGCAATTGTTGCTGCTCATCAATCTGAGAAGGGTTATAAGGCCATTTCCAAACAATTTGAAATTCATCATTCTACAGGGAGAAGGATTATTTACAAATGGAGAATATTCAAAACAGTTGCCAGTCTTCCCAGGAGTGGGCGTCCCAGCAAATTCACCCCAAGCTCAGACTGAAAAATTCTCAGAGAAATCGCAAAAAACCCAAGACCTACATCTAGGAACCTACAGGCCAGGTCTCAGTTAACATGTTAAATGTTAAAGTTCATGACAGTACGATCAGAAAAAGACTCAACAAGTATGGCTTTCATGGAAGGGTAGCCAGGAAAAAAGCCCCTTCTCTCCAAAAAGAACATGTCAGCACAGCTTAGGTTTGCAAAGTTGCATCTGAACAAACCACATGATTTCTGGAACAATGTCCTTTGGACAGATGAGACCAAAGTGGAGATGTTTGGTCATTATGAACAACGCCATGTTTTGCGAAAACTAAACAAGTCGTATCAGCACAAACACCTCATACCAACCGTCAAGCACGGTGGTGGAGGGGTGATGACTTGGGCTTATTTTGCACCCACAGGACCTGGGCACCTTGTAGTCAACAAGTTGACCATGAACTCCTCTTTACACCAAAGTATTCTAGAGACAAATGTGAGGCCATCTGTCCGACAGCTAAAGCTTGGCCGAAATTGGGTCGTGCAACAGGACAATGATCCCAAGCACACCAGCAAATCTACAACTGAATGGCTGAAAAAGAAAAGAATCAAGGTGTTGGAATGGCCAAGTCAAAGTCCAGACCTCAACCCCATTCAGATGCTGTGGCAGGACCCTAAGACAGCTGTGCATAAATGAAAGCCCTCAAACATCAATGAACTGAAGCAATGTTGCAAAGAAGAGTGGGCCAACATTCCTCCAAAACGATGTGAGAGACTGATAAACTCATACAGAAGATGATTACTTCAAGTTATTGCTGCTAAAGGTGGTTCTACAAGCTATTGAATCATAGTTTTTCACACATGGCTTCTGCATGTTGGCTTATGTTTTAAGTAAATAATTACATAATGGAATCTGTTATGTGTTGTTTGTCACCTGAGGTTAGATTTACCTAATTGTAGGACCTAGTAAGGTCCACACGATTTTTTATGTCCTGATATATAAAACCATCATATATGTCAGGACGAATTCTTCATTTAGGTTTTGGACATTCAACAATAAAAATTAAACTTCAGTAATGCCTACTTATTAGAACTTTTCTTAAGACAGCTGAAAAATACTCAGTGCTTTGAAAAAAATGTTTTCCGGCATAGAAGTTATACTATTTTGAAGAAAAACTCAAGAGGTTTCATCCTTTAAATCCTGAAATACAAGCTATCAATTCTGCACTATCAGTATTCTTGTTGAGAACATCAAAATATTAAACCTCACTTATTCTTGGAAATGACTGCTTTGATCCCAAACCAAAATTAAATCTTTCTACAATTTTGTGCTTATAAAGAATTTTTAAAAAGGCATTTCCCTCCCTTGGTGATAGAAAACAGCTGCCATCAAACTGCATGGCACATACAGGAATAGCAAATGGCAAAAATCAAGAGGATTCTTCCAGCTTTGTCACTTACAGCTGTTGCATCCTTGATCTAAAATAAGATTCTAAATCCTGCATTTTAGCAGTCTATCAGGTGTTTACATAAAGACAGATATGTATTCAAATAAGGGATCAGATAGAAGGGTAGTCTTTTGCATTCATCTGGTACAGTTTGACAGTGATTTAGCTATAATTGGAGAGGTAATTATAAGCTGTTCAGAATTTACAGGCATCAACAGAACAGCCTAAGAGAAAAGCTTGCCTACAATTTTGTGGTAAACAGTAATTCACTTACCAAGACAAACTGATCTGAACTAAAAAAGTACTAACAAGGTGAATACTATTCTGTCCAACCTACAAGGCAAACCTAAAAACCAGAATGGTTTCTTCAATGTTTCCGGGTCCTAAATTATAAATACATTCATGATAAAGATTTATTCGTGGATAACTTCTAGCCACAGCGGACTAAGTTCGGCGTCACATTTTATTTGCTCAAATACATACAGTTTCATCAGGACACATTCAGCCAACTTCTGAAATTGAACTTCTCACCAAAATTCTCCCTAAAATCATTACAAGTGCTTTTAGGGAACAACCAAAATCATCTACAGCTGACTGCATATAGGACAGGTCAAGAACTGATCATCTATCTATGTGACTTGTATTATCAGCTGTCATCCCCAATCATGAGTGCTTTTACATGCAGTATTACATAAAAATAAAGCAATTGTAGTCAAGGCAGAAGACCTTAAGAAACACCATTTCCATGACCTCTAGCCGAGTTGGAGTGAACCCTTTAGTATTAAATACCGTACCGCACATCATCATCATACCTGGGTGGCCAATCAAATTTTTTACCTCCTTTTCTTGCGTCCCAAAACCAACACTGTGTAAAAATGGGTCATGACTTCTTTGACATTGGATGTACTGTCAACTTTAAATGCATCAAACTTACCATCAGAGCAAAGATTACCTCTACACGGATTATCAACTACTGTTCAACCATTATTATAAAATAAAAGCCTATCTTGGTCCTCATAGCACCAACATGAGAACATCTTAGACACGATGATCCTACATCACCACGTTCTACATTTTAGATGACAGTGCCTTCAATTTCAAACAATTAATTTCCAACAGAAACTATTCTGACAACTCTAAAAACCACAACAAGGAGCTACTGATCAAAGTGTTCTCTAAATAAATGTGTGAAAATTCTTAAAGGGCTTTTGATGGGCAATATTTGACAATATCTAATTCAAACGAAGCAGACAGAAAACTGAAGGAAAAAGACCTGGGAAAAATCAGACTCATACGGTAACTACACCGATCCACCCATTCCCACTATTTTGCTACACGAAACAGACCTGCTTAAACTAAGAAAATCCGAAATTAGCCATTCTTAATCGTTATTTAGAATGTTTTTAAATAATAATTCGGTTAACATTAAAACAAAGGCAAAACATAGACGTTAAAGTTTGTACCTATTCGACCGTGCTAGAAATGTAAAAATAATCAGCATTAAAAATACGTGATATAGGTTTTCCTTATTTTCCGAGATAGAAACAATTAGTTTTGTTCACCTAAGGAAAAAAAACAAACGATTACAAAACACAGATGTCGTTGAAAATGGTGGGCCAACACCAAGAAATTAAAGACCTAGCTAACTGGGTTACCCCCCCAGATTCATGGGGAGCTCAACTCTTGGGTCTCCGAGACCCCTCCAGGGTTGCAAACATTTTGCATACCCTGTCTCCTTTCTAGCAATTTACAAACAGGTATTGCAAACAAGTGGAGGTTCGCTTAAAAACGACACCAGCCAATAATCGTGAGATCTTTTTATCCTTGAAATAAAAGAGTCATGAACAGGCCCTGATCATCCTTGTCACCGCTAGAGCTACAGGGCAGTTTTACGTGCTCGGGAACAGCGCGGCTGCAGTGCTACGGCTGGGTAGCGGCTCTTCATCAAATAATCCCATAATTGATACAAATCACACAGTTGCAAATGTACAATATCAAGCAGCACACATCGCAAATTGCTGCGCTTAACAACTCTCGACTCGACGGCACTTGGCTAAGCCGCTTCACACACCAGTGCCGTCTCTGCAAAAACCGTCGATCGCCCCTAAAAATACACCTCCGAAACGAAAAGTTACGTTTTCTAAATCCGTGTCCTCGGCCGTTTGTCTAAACCAAAACCAAGAACGACCCCACTTTTCAGTACTTGAGCTCCGCTGCATACTGCCAAGACAACGAAGAATGGTATTAAGCTGCGGCTTATTTGTAAACACACGCATGTGTCAAATGCGATTTCACAAAACGTTACTGTGTTTTAAGGAGAAACTCACTCCAGGAGCCCCACACAGAAGTGAAAGTACCGTATACACCAGAGCACAGGACCTGTCATTTGTAAGGACGGCTACGTTTATTCAAAGACCTTTATGGCCTGCTTTTAATAACCACGCATCAGATACTGGCTATCGGCGGGTAACAACCTAATCACATCGCATATGATAAAGAAGGCAATTCAGCTTCTCGGAATTGTCGGATCCAACATTTTGCCCTCTGTGCGAAGCGGCAACATTCATATCAACAAACCCCGCTGGTCTGAGCGCGGTACGAGCCATTCGCTACATCTCCCAAACTCTCCGCGGCGGAACTCACCTTTATCTGTTCGTATCGCTCTCTCGCCTTCTGTGAAAATTAGTCTTCATTTGGGGTCCCGTGTGCCGTGGGGTGAAGTAAAATCCTCCAGCCTCTCCTCTCCTCCAGCGAGCCCCTCAGATTTCCAAACCAACAGCCCTCACTCCTCCGGACTCGGTGTCAATTCAATTTCCAAATCAACAGCGCCTCTCCAACAACTAAACACAAACTTGCTCGTTGAGAGGGGCTGGAGAAAAAAAAAAACGAACCTTCTCCCGTAACCACGGCAAATGCTCGCCGCCAGTGACTCCCGTCTGCACCAAGACGTAGTTTTCCGAAATGATCTGTCCAAAAACCGTCGATCCAACAGCTGTAAACCTTGTTTTCTTGGGCAAGGATGTTTTTTTTGTAAATTTCACAAAATGGCGCGCGTTCCAAACCTGCGCAGCGAACCGGCCCGGCAGACCATAGAGACACGGACAACCGCTCAGGTCGGCGCAGCCTCAAAATATTTACCTTTTACAAATTCATACGCCTCCCGAGTTCCTTAACCTGATGCCGACGATGCATTATTTCAAATTCCGTTGCCATTAGTTTTTTAAAATAAATTTATTATTCCGGCGGGAAGGGAAATTATTTGAAAAAAATCCACTAACAAAATGGCGGCTGACTGGGTATGTTGCTATAGCAACTGTCAATCAAACTAGGAAGTTCCCGGATGCATAGCTGACGTAGAAAGATATTGTGGGTTGTCATGGAAACTGTCAATCAAGATCCGTTATAGTTTATGGGAGGGGCAGATGGAAACGATTTTTTTTGCAGTTAGTCCAACATTTTGGCTCTCAATGTTTGCGGTTTTCATCAAAGACCTCACGCTTCTTTTGAGCCGCAATGGCATCGGTTTCGTCATTTACACCATCTCTTTAAGGCGAATGGGTCTTGAAACTTTGTCAGTAACTCAACAGGCGCACGGAATGTCTTAGTCTAGTTAAACTTGCAACCTTCTGAGTTAGAAGGTTTCTTAGAAATGTCTGATCTTCTGTCTTTTTCTAATTATTTGTATTTGCATTTGTAGGTTCTTGGATACAAGCCGAGAAGTACGTTAACTCCACATATCCATTGTGATGTGTAAGAATTCATTACTAAGAATAAAAAGTACCTTCGTTTTGATTCAGTTATATTATTTCTAATCTAGTTAAGACGAAAGTTTTAAAACGTAGCTGGAAAAATACCGTCACTAGACTTTGCGAATAAAGGGGCAAATGTGAAACAGCGTTAGATTTGACATCTGATTCTAGCGCATACTTGACAGACTCTTTTCTAGACATAATATAGTGTAACTTTGCAAAGTTGACGCAGAATGATGGAAGCAATTTTAAGACAATCAGAAGTTAAACGTATGAGTTATTTCGACACTTTACGGGTAGGATTAAGCATTCCCTTCGCCACAAAAGCCGAGACCCGATCTTGCGTAACTTTATTAGTTAATACAGTAAAGCTGGTGAAATAACGCCGAGAAGCAGGGCTATCACAGTGTCTGCGCATCTCAGAGAAAATACTCCGCTCGCAATGTTTTCAGTCACTGGGTCCAGTAAAACCAATATAACCAGTTCGCTTATTTACTTAAAATACTTTAAATTAGTTAGAAATCCTCGGGTACACAACTAGTGACAATATCTAAAAATATATATATAAATTAAGCTTTCTGACAAGGCTGCTGTGTTCCTATTGTAACGTGTTTTACACAAGAAAACACGTACAGCACGACCCTTTTTCACAAATCTGTCATCCCAGTGCATGAAAGTGAACATATTTGTTCAAAGACCACCGAAAGAGAGGTGCGTTGGGCAATACCAACACTGAACACTCGTCCCAATGGTTCCCGTCAGAAAACAGTGTCGATCTCCGGCGGATATCAGTCTGATGTCAACTGGCATGCATTCCTTAAGACCTAACTTAATATTTGCATTTTTCACTTGTATGTTTTAAATGCCATTGTTAATGTCAAAAAAGTCAAAAATTGCTCAGTGATTTCAATGAATATTGAATAAGCAGCCAGTTATTTGGTTGGAAATTTTGCGTCTACCTAAGAGATTGTAATCTGTGTACCATCAGACTACGTTAACCACTTATCAGGAAATATATTTGGGTGTAGTGAAGTATTATTTTATTGTGCTATGTTTTAAGTTGGTATTCGCTGTGTCAGAAAAATAACCCAAGTGTTGGCGGTACTGCTGCACACGAACACAGAAGGCTATTTTTTTATTTGTGTAGAAGAGGACAGGATGCTTTTCGGCATTCGTCCGTGAAACGCAGCCCGTCTTTACCAGTAGCTTTAATGGGTATCAGGGCCAGCCCATGCAACAAGTCATTTTGTTTTAAAAGGGCTGTTTCGCAACCAACGACTGAAATTGTGCAACTGCACAGTGGGGGTGCCAGCGGGGAACCAGGATTGCGCAATGCCAGTATCCAGACCTTAACGCCATTGCCGCCTGCACAATGCAAGGGGATGCGCAGGCTGAAGCAAACCGGCTACCACACAGCGCTGTCTCACACGTTATCTCTTGGTTTTTGCGCATAGGTATACACGTTAGATAATGCGCTCATGTGGGGTAAAAATAAAAAAGAAACACACGATCGCAAAAAGCTCTCCAGCCTCCGCCTCCAGCGCTACAGCCGGGCGAGGGGGGGGGGAGAGAGCAGCCCACCCACGTGACCGGCGTGTCATGTGACAGCCCGTCACGTGACTCCGCTGCGGCGCGATCACGTGGTCGAGCGCATCGGGACCCGCTCTTTTTTTTGTTTTTTCGCCTCAGAATCCTCTTTTCCCGAGAAGAAAACAAAATGAGCACAAGTTTGGACATCAGACTAAAGCGAGCAAATAAAGTCTATCACGAAGGGGTAAGGTATTCTTCGGCGATCATGTCCACCCTGCCCCTCTCCCGTCCTTACGGTGTGTGAACAGCTAACCACTTGCTCAGTAGAGGGTTTCAGAGGATTTCTGACCATCTTTGACCTATTAGCTCTGTGCCTGTTTGAAAACCGCTTAGAATTACTTCACTTTATTAATAATGCAATTAATAGTCTACAGTGCGTTTTGTGTTTTGCAATGCAATGGAAAGTACAACACAAGAGAATTGTCGCTTTAAAAAGCGAAAGCCACACTGTTTTTGTTGGCCTACGAGATTTAAACCTGAATGCTGTCATTCATTTATCAGGGGAGTGTGCAGTACTTACTGTCACTTGTTATATAGTAATGTCAAGGTGGGAGGTTTCCGTCTCTCGGTGTCACTGTCGGACCGTGTCGGGTGGAAAGTGTGTTTAGATTCGCCTTGCTCGCTTCTGTGTCTCTCCTGGGTAAGCAGCAGTAAGAAAACAACATCTCAATCCTTCCATAATCGTTCGCAAGCAACGCGTTTGTGACTGAACACAGAACTGTCACCGCGATGGTTTCGCAAAACGAGTTAAACTGGACCTGCGTTCGCACTCCAGTACAGCGACCTTGTCCTTTCGCAAATTGCTGTGGTTACCAGTGGAAATGTCTGTCCTCAGAGTCACAGACGGCAGGCTGACTGACCGACCTCACGCAATCTTACATGTCCACAGACAGAGAAATAAAAGTGATGGAGCTATTCTTAGGCATAGGTTATGGGAAGCTTCATGTCTAGGAAGCAACTATACGATATAGAAGGAAAATGCTTTTATGTATTTTTGACACAATAAGGCATTTTAATACTTTAATGAGGTTGTATTAATAT